GCTCTGAGTCCTCCTCACTCCTCATTGCTCCTCCTTTCCTTTTTTCTCTCTCCTCCCCCCACCCCCCTTCGCTTACCTCACGCCAATCTCGTGCAATCGGGGTTTTTTGCTAGGTTTTATAAAATTTAAGGTTCTGCCGAAATGGACTTTGAGTAGCGCCGCTAGCTTTTTCCGAATTCTATTAAATTTACCCCTATTCAGTTAAGTAATACACAACAGATCGTGTTACCGTATCCTACCGTATCACTAGCGATTCACATACACATCGTTTTTTTTTGGGAGGGGGAGAAGAGGTTTAGAGACTCAGACAAACCGATTTGGATAAAGCAGTTGTCCGTCCCGTTTACCGCATTCGCCGAACTGGAACTTGAAATGGCCTTCCTTGTCGAACACTTGGATACGGTGGTTGTTTGTATCGGCCACAATGATATCATTCTGAGCGTTTACTGCCACTCCCGATGGTTCCGTGAACTGCAAAAAAAGCCTGTTTTAGATAAAGCAGCGACAAGAAGTATTTCAAGTACTTCTCTACTCCACGCTTATGCGGCTAGCTTCAAAATGGTATTTTGAAAAGACAATCCCTCTGTGATCCGTTGTTTCGCTTCGATGCAAGTTGGTATTTCACATGTCGCGAGCGTGCTTTGAACGAAATTTCGACATGCAGTTGCAAAATTTCTCATTTTTTTCTGGGTAAAAATTTATAAGTAGACACAGTTCGGGTCAAACAACCAGGAGAACAACATTCCCAGAACACTCCTCAAATTAAATTAAAGGGCCGGGTGAAAGGTCGCAGACCAGCTAATAAAGTGAAAACTGTCTTATTTGCATTCTCACCTGGCCCTCCATGACTCCAAATTCGCCGAATTTGCAATGATAGATCATTTTTTGTCGTTTAATCTGGGTCCGTGGTGGATACAGACTGTTTACGCTCATATTCTGCAACAAATAATTTATCATAGTTTGAGACGTGTCTCGCAAAATTCCAATTCGAGCATCTCATCTTAGT